TGTAGCTTGTGTTTAGATTGTCTATGAATTGTTTTATTACGACGAATATGAGCATTTAGTTAGGTTTTATTATTATTTGCTGTCGCTAAGTGGAATAATAATTTATAAGACAATAAGGAACTTTCGTTTGATATATACCTTTTACTCAAGTTTGAGTGCATCTTTCGTTAGCTATAGAGTTATGGATGCACGTAATAAGTAAATATGCATTTTATTTGATATAACTATAGAATTTAGTTCATTATGATCAAAATAAAGAATTTTATGCTTCAATGGAACAAAAAGATTTAACAGAAAATAGAACTATCAATTCTGTTGAACTGAGATGTTTTAACGTGTAGGTAACGTGTAAATTAATGTTTGTGCACTTTTTATGAAGTATGCATTCAGAGAAGGAAACAAATATTACCTGTAGCTTGTCTATGAAATGTTAAATCAATATACTTTTTATTTTCGAATAAAATTGATTCATACCATTCACGGGGAATGAATTGTACAACAAAGTTGTATAATACTAATGAATAATAAGTATAATGAATTATTAACATAAAATATGCATACTCACACATTATTTGAAGTTTCACCGGATTACTCTCTGTCCTCCCCTCGCTATTTGCAGCAAGGCAAGTATAATCTCCAGCAGAGTAACGTGTGATGCCTTGAAGAACCAAAGAGTAATCGCTCAACACTATACCCGCAGTGGCATTATTCTTCAACTCTTTCCCCTGAAACAGACAGTGCAATTTTATGATGCAAGTCTGTTTTTTCATCTGCAGGTAGCAGTAGGTGCTTGACCTAACCCATGAACAAAGAAAGCACCCCAAGTTTTCAAGTTATCTTGACATCTTTCAACGCTGCAGGATAGAGAAATAACTCCAATCACTCTAATTATCTTAGTTATTTGTAGAGATTTAACCTTAGATCACAGAACTATATCATTTTCACTAATATTTTAAATTATTAGTCGGAAATTATAATAGGAACAGAAAGCTTGACACTTCTTTTCAAAATTAATAATACAGAAAATTATAAATAGAATAGACTATACAACAATATTATAAAATAAACTACATAAATAGCATACAATTTCTATTTTGATGAGAAATGAGTAATAGGGTTATGAGAAAGCTTTGAGACAAATAATACATACTCTTTAATGAAACATAAATTGCAGATTTTCTGTAATTAATAGCTTTTAAGAACTTCCGTAAAATATTCCAACAGAATTCAAATTTGAATACAATTCCATACGTTTGTGGTTGACATGTTTTGAAATTTCTGAATCTATTAATGTAGAAAGCGAAATTTTACTCTATGTTAGTTACTCTAAATTTGTTTATAAAAATGTAAAATCGTTTGTAACGTACTTGTTTAAAACTAAATATTCTTATAAATATACGACACTAGAGTGACGTAAGGAAAATTATATAAAAAACTCACATCTTTGAACCAGGCCAGTTTGTACACTTTTGGATTGGCTCTAACCGAACAATCAAAATATACGTCATCGCCCTCTTTGATATCATCTGGATTCAAGGTCTCGCCCATCTTGAGAGTAACCAGTGGCTGATATTGCACGTCCAGTCTCCACTTATCTTCCAAAGCGCTGTTCGGAATGGAAGGGTTCTCGGCACGACAGGTCAGATACTTGCCATCGTCGTCGATACTTGGCACGAAGCTCAGGACACTCAGAGTTTGATTGTTCTCCAACACGTACTGCCAATGACATATGATCTCCACATAAATTATTACTGAATAGATATTTAACACTAGAACTACCGTACCAATCTGAACGAGTGGTTTCTGTTTTCTTGTTTTACAATTATAGAGAGCATAAAAGCGTTAAATGCCAAAAGTCTGTTAGAAATTAATGGTTTCACTTACAGAATATAATGAATATTAGCAGAAATTTAAAGAAATATATTTTTATAATTTTTATTGATATTAAGATTAATGTAAATTAATGTAAAAATTAATTTATATTAAATTCTCAGTAGTTCTAGTGTTAACATGTTGAATGTTATATAAATTTTCTGCATTTTATCTAATCAATGTCAAAAATCTATATGAATATTGAAATTTGATCAGTTGAATTTAACCAATTAAGCTATGACTTGATATACGTGTACAAAGTAAGGTATATATTTGCTCAGGTCATTCATTACAAATTCAGAGAATGAAAAAATGTTCACTATCAACATATTCTTACGTTTATTTGTTACTTCCCTGCATAATCTAAACATTTGCAACCACTGAACGTGAGATAAATATGACTTATGGTTATTAAGGGTCGACAGATTGCTTCCGTTGTGGTAAAATTTTCATAACATAATGACTGACTAACGATTCAAGACATATACAATATTTATGAGTCTCATTCAGGATATTACTTTTTTTAATAAAAATATTTATGTGGCGCTCCATGATTAATATACTGCAAGATACGAATTATTGATGCAAATGATTTAAAGTTTCCTATGTGTCGTCAAGAATATTGCATCAACGTCACCGTCTAATGACAAATAAATTTCTTTCTCGAAATGTAAGAAAGAAGGGAACGCAATGACCAACTCTCTTACAGTTATTTCTTCATCTTTCAGGTAACGAACTTGATTCACATTGAGTTGTAAACTAGTACATTGCAACTGACGAGGTTTTAACAGTTTGACGGTCACACATTTAATACTTTGTCCTTTCTTTTATAACTACGCTGACTGGAATTAATTTGACACCAGTAATTTATTGGAACCAAAGACGGGTTATATGTTCATTTACATCTACGTTTACCTTAAACAATATTTATTTATGTAATGCTAAGAATTCGTATCATATAGTCTCTTTCTACATATACATTCAATTATGGTATTAACAGCTAGCTATTTACAGAATCAAGTAATATTCATGTGATATTTACTGATAATGCGTACACAATTACTTGTGCATTGCCTATTCATCTATTACTGTGCATTTCTGTTTGCATTGACATTAATTGGCATTAAGGGTAATATCGCTGTTGCGGCACGGTTTATTTGGTTAAGATACATATCATAAAAAAACGGCAACTCAACGACCTAAACCCCGAGCGCACAACCACCGGTACCTTTGCAGGTCAGAAGGGACGACGTACCCCCTACCTCCACTACTAGTAATGTGAGCGTAGGTTAAAAAACGGCAATTAGCAACACCTCGAGCATTTTAGCCTTCTGATTTGTCACTAAGGACACCGCCCCATAGTATTTTTATATATATATATAGAGACATTGAGAGACAGACCAGACAGACAGACATAATCACAAGTTCATACTAATCACGCTGTACTCACTGGACAACACACACACTGTAACTTTGTATACACATACACATTCCTTTCACTCAATATTCAACAAATACAGTCCACTTTCGAACGAGAAAAGGAGAAGCCTTTTTTCATCACATCTATTTCAGACAAGGTTACTTCGGCATGTGAAAGTGTTACGCCACGTTCACTAATACTGCCTGGACAGCGTGCACGAACAATCGCGTTGCCTACTTTATATGCGACAATTCAATATTATAAACTGATTGTTACAAGATACTGTATTAATTACAATGGATCGCTACTGGGTCTATTTTCGACTAATGATCATATTGTTCAAACAATTGCAGTTGATAATTCAATAATCAAGTTTAACATTTCATACTGTGTTTTTAAATTAATTTGACACATGTTAGCGAAGGTAATGCTACCAATAATATTCTTATTAATTCGAATGCTATTAATAGCTTCAAGTTACTATTTCAACAATAGACGTAGATATATGTGTACTGAAACATTTTGTGACATTTTTGTCATATTATTAATTGTTTCTATTATTGATTAAAATAATATAATTAAATCCAAAGAACAATATTGTATTCTTTATGAACATAGCAATTACCATGAAGTTTATCTAAAATTTGAAGCATATTAACACTTCGCCAGCTTGAAACTAATATTTATTACTATTTGGCTAATTCATTTTAAAATATTAAATACTATATTAATACTCTGTTAGCTGATCTCATGATAATGTAACATTTATTGGCCAATAGTTAAACAGGATTTAATTGTTCTCAAATCTACCATAATATATCAACATACTCATGTTTTGAAATCTGAATCTGACTAACAATATTTCTCAATAATAAAATTAAAGAAATATTTTATTATGTAGTTCAAATAACGATGGTTTTATTAGTTTTATTAGTTCATAGACAGTGAGTACATTTGTTTGTATACAAGAATTTTTAAAAAATGTCAACAGTGGTTGACCAATTTTACGATAATTTTTTATTATCATTACACCAATGGACAAATATATGTGATTTCCACGTATCAAACTATACCTGACGCATAACGAACCGTATCAGTCATGTATAATGATAGGAATTCATATGGAGTGTTAGCCTTTGTGAACATAAAGGTATTTACTATAGTAATAATCCGTAACGAAAGGCTTAATGACTAGTTGCACAGTAAATGGAGTTTACCACCGGAGAATTTAAATTATAATCCAAGATTCTCCGCGAATCGGTAAAATCAATAAAAGAATAAAAAAATTTGGTTTAATTAAGAATTTTATTATGAGGCATATTAAATTAAACCTTTATTACAAATCGCGTTATAAATTTACCGTTTACACCATTATATTGTACTGTCCGTTAATATTATTCATTCATGAAGAATTAATGAAGAAAATAAATATATAATGATCGAAATAAAGAAGCCGTTTAAGTTTAATTGGGAAAGATTCAATAATGAGTCGCAGTAGGTAAGTGCTTCGAAGTGGAAGAAGTATTACTGTTTGCTGTTGAATTTAATCACGAAGCAGATTTACTGTCACGCGATCCGTACTTTGCCAGGTAATAGGTTACAATTATTAGCACGTAAGCTTAATAATTTATGCATGTCAACTAATAAAAGTGCCTATGCGTCGGTACAATTAATGAAAACCTCTATACATCTCTATGCATAATAATGAACTTATAAAATGAGTGCGTGTGTAATTTATAAATATACAACAAATAAATCATTCACTTTTATTGATGTTAGTATTAAAAACTTGAACGATCCAGTGTTTCTCATATACAAGTCTGCATTAGGTAATTGAACTGTGGAGAGGTAGATGTCACGCGTCGACAAATTAGACACACAATACATATGGGGTGAACGATCTATAATGAGACTGATGTACGAGGAGTAGATGGGGTGTGACACGCACGCATGTGTTGTAAAATCCGGATAGGGGTCACAGTGATACGAAGGAAAACACTAAATAACTTGGCTCTATTTCATTTTAATGAATTATTTAAAAGATGTAAATAAATTATATGCTTCGTCTAAAATGTTGCTTAATTTGTTGCCTCTTGATATTTTCGAACATCAATAGTGTAAGTCGAGAAGGAATAAATTTTATACAGAAAATCAGACTGAAATATGCTTTCATTTGACGTATTTGAATCAAAATAATGAAAATTGAAAATTTGTAAATTGCGCTTCAGAAAATAAAATAAGTATAATGTATCAGTTTTCGTAATATTATCAGCTTTCAAATGAAAAGATCATTTCTTTAATAAAAATCAATTCAATTGTTGCCGTCAATAGTCTGAGCTTTTCATACGACTGAAAACTTTATAAATGTAAATTCCCCTGTACAAACAGAAAATGTCCAATTAATTTCCCTAAGCTAATTATCGTTAATCAGCTGTGTTTAATGGAAAAAGATTCTTTCAAGTTTTACAAGTTTCACCTTAAAAACATTAATCGTTCATTTCAACATTCCAAATTCATTTTTCGTTAGACAAATGTGACTCATGCTCTACTCCCCAATATCACGTTTCATTAAAACCACAACACTCCTTACTCCGCGTTACCTAAAGCATATTTCCTCAATCACATTCACAAAAGACAAAATAAACTCCAGAACACTCCTTCCACACTCTTCATGCGAAAGCGCGAAGTGTTCGGTCCCTTACAAAATTTCAATAATCGAAATTCGAATCGTTTCGAGATTAACGTCTCGAAAATTCAATCAAACCGTGTAGGGACGAATTGATTCGGCCCCGGTTATATACCGAGCACGAAACGAAACTACCTCAACAATTTGTCACACGTTTAATATGAAAATCAATTCGACGGTCGTACGCATTGCTACAGAAGAGAGATGAGGAAATAAAGGGACTGAACGAGATTAACGATTTTTCGAGATTTATGATGCAGTGGCGCGGAATTGAGGAAAATGGAGGGCGACAGGGGTAGGAGAGGTTGGTACTGGCTCGGTGACTATCACCCCCCC